TGGACTCCACCTCCTACTTTCCACCTCCTCCCAATAGTGTTTTAATATTAGGAATCTGCCAAAAGATTCATTCATCAGGTTAAGGCACAAAGATCTAGATTCAATCATTAACCCAGATGTAGGCTTAAGCTCCTAGGTGAGGAACCAAGTTGATAAGAACAACCGCCTTACATATATTAAGTACAAGAAGCCATTTGGGGATGGAGAGATGGCTCAAAGGTTAAGAGCACTGGTTGCTCTTGCAGAGGACCCTGGTTTGATTCCCAGCACCCACATAATAGCCGATAACTGGTTATAACTCCAGCTCCAGGGCATCTGTGGTGGTTTGAAAGAAAATGGCCCCCATAGTTTAGGATGCATGGCCTTGTTAGAGGAAGTGTGTCATTGTAGGGGCTAAGTTTTAAGGTCTCCTATGTTCAAGATATGCCCAATGTTACATACAGTTGATTCTGCTGCCTACAGATCAAGATGTAGAGGTCTTAGCTCCTTCTCCAGCACCATGTCTGCCTGCATGCTTGCATGCCCCACCATGATAATACTGGACTAAACCTCTGAAACTGTAAGTGGCCCTAATTAAATGTTTTCTTTTATAAGAGCCCCCATGGTCATGGTGTCTCTTCATAGCAATGGAGACCCTAACTGACAGAGGACCTGACACCCTTCTTCTACACATCCCCCCACCTCCCTGGCACCAGGCATGCAAGATGTACATAGACATACATGCAGGCAAAATACATATTTTAAAAGAGGTCACTCAAAAGGCTACATATTTAGTAATTCCATTTATAGTAACTGTCCAGAGCAGGTAAACCTGTGAACAGAAAGTAGATGGGGGTTGGGGCAGCACAGTTGGAAGTGCATGTGGGAAGTATTGAAATGAACAAAGATTCTCTTTAGATGCTAGCGGTGCCTTCATAGCATTTGGATATGCTAAAATTCTCGGAATTCCACTCTTTACAAGGTTGAATTTTGGAAAAATTCAAATTACATATAATGTAAGTGGATTGCATATTCATGTTGGAAAACTAAACTTGTTCATTATTTAAAAATAATTTTATCAAAAATGTTACCATAAATGTAGATGGAAAGTTTTCAACATCTGAACATAAGTCTAAGCTGAGCTAACTGAAGACTATCAGTCAAAAAGAGGAAACCCAGCTACAAGGCAAGCAGAATCTATATATGCCAACAGGGACACACAGTGAGCTACAGTATTAATATTGCTGCCATATTAGGGATCTACTCTCACCTGATATACTTTTTCAAAACATATTTATTGACTTTTGATTCAGAGCCTCACTATGTAGAGTAGGTTAGACTGGAACTCATAATTCTCCTGTCTCAGCTCCCTGAATGCCAGGATTACAAAGATGCATCCCCAAGCTCAGCTATAATAGTTTAGAGATGTGGTTCTTGCTGTTATTTGTTCTAGTGTATGCCTATTTGTATTTGGTTTTATTCTTTCTCTTCTAATTTCATGAGCATTGGTGTGTAATAGATGCAGAGTAAAATTAAAGAAACAGATTCTTATGGTTGTTTTTTATATATAATTTCATATCAGTGTTCATCTTTGGTTTTTGATTTCTGTCAAGGAGGAAAGAGTGAGCAGCAGTTTAGCTTGTGAAAGGAGCTAAGACAAATGATCCTTCAGATAAATGAGATTTATTAGGAAAGAGAGGAGGCTACATAGCCATGGAGGCCATGATGGAGGAACACACTGTGAGTAACAGTACATCATGTCAGAGGCAACAAGACAGGCTATGAGGACGAAAAATGTGAGAGAGACAGAGACAGAGATGAAAGACAGAGATGTGTGTGTGTGTGTATGTGAGAGAGAGAGAGAGAGAGAGAGAGAGAGAGAGAAGAGAGAGAACCTCAGAGAGACAAATACTACCCTTTAAAAACTTTCTCCCACAGAGTGGTGGGTAGTCAGACTTTTTAATCCCACCAGCCACCTCCAAAATGACCACACAGAGACTTCTTATTAATCATGAAAGTTTTGCCAATAGCTTAGGCTTGTTTTTAGCTAGCATTTCTAACTTAAATTAGCCCATTTTTACTAATCTATGTGCTCACCATGTGGCTCACTTACCTCATCTATGTATTGCCCATCCTGCTGGCTCTGTGTCTTACAGCATGTCCTTGTGACTCCACCCTTCTTCCCAGCATCCTCTGTCTGGAAACCAGGCCTAGCTATTGGCCAATCAGGTCTTTATTAAACCAATGAGAGTGACATATTTATACACAGTGTAATCAAATATCTTGCAACAGTGGTTATCTATATAGTGTGAACATCCAGTAGCAGAGATAAGGAAGCACACTTATTTATACATCCTATTACAACCCATCCTAGGAGACTGAACAGAGCAGTAAGGGGCTTGCCAGTTCTTTGTCTCAAGGTACAGATCCGAAGAGGTCAATTTTGTCTTAAAGTGGCATGCCCATCTGTAAAATCAATCAGGGAGGGATAGCTACTCAAAGAAAAAAAAAGATATGCCCCATGCAGAAGAAAAGTAAATGCAAAGGACAAAGGTAAGAGTTTAGAGCATGCTGTTAGACTTTTAAACAACTTAGCTTGGCTGGAAAATAAAAATAAAAAGGAAGATTTAGACTAAAAAGTAAAAGGGCTTGTTGTTTTTAAATAAAAGTATATATGAGTGTGATGATACCCACCTTTCATCCCAGCCTTTAGGAGGCAGAGGCAAGTAGATCTCTGTGAATTAAAGGCGAACCTGGCCTCTAGTATGAGTTTCAAGCTAACTAGGGCTACATAGAAAGGCTCAGCCTCAAATCAAATAAACAAATAAACAAAAATTAATGAATGAATAAATGAATGAATGAATGAATGAATGAATGAATATTTTAGCAAGAAGGGCAGCCAAGACAAGAGAACTGTCCCTTGGCTCCCAGGCCAGCTGTCCTGGAGTACTCAATGGAGCAGAAACAAGAGCCAAATAAGGAGAAAGAGACAACCACTATAAAGCTGTCACTTTTGTTGCACCATAGACTGTATGTACACACACACGTTACTGTAGCAATTTGGCAGTAGACAATAAGGACAACATACTTTCATTGTCCTGATGTCATCCGGTCTTCTCTGCTTCCCTCATCCCCCTCTCCTTTCCTTCCCTCCACACTCCCCATCCTCCTGCTCTCTCTTCTCCCTCTCCCTTCCTTCCCTCCACACTCCCCATCCTCCTCCTCATCTCTCCTCTTCCCCCTCTTATTTATAACACTTATGTTTTCTAGGTCTTCAATTTGTTCATTTATAAAATGAACATCACTAGGAAATTTGCAAGGTTCTTCCCATTCTAACGGTCTGTGAAAATACCCCACTTCTAATGAGGTCTATGAACAGCAGCTGACACTAAGCTAATACAAAAACCCAGGGTAGTAATATTTCTACTGGAAAATATTTTAAAATAAGGGCAGATTAGAGAATTAGTCTTTTTGCTGTTGAGCCAATATCTTAGAATGCATTTCACAACTGACAAAATATATACAAATTCCAACCCAGGAGATAAATTTGTTCCTATAGTTAGTTCTCATGTAGCATTTAAACTACAGTGTGTCTACAATATTAACTACTCAAATTGGTCTCTTTCCATTCAAAGTTGTAGAAACCCATGGGAGTCGTGCTCACTTAAATGAGTGTCAATGGAACGTTCAGGAGCACAGTGAGCTTCAGATACGCTTAGATTTGAGACCCAAACAATATAACCAGTGGTCTGTCTTCCTCCATGCAACACTAGGCAGATGAGCACACATTTCCACATGCATATTCACACAACAAAAAGGGATCACCGTCCCAGGAAGTTCTCCAGGAAAGACCAAGGGACACTCACTGACCTGGTTTGAGTCCAGTGACTTGCCACAGACAACCAGACCTTAATATTAGTGCCTTAAAGGAAGAGGAAAACGTGCACCAAGGGTAGTGGCACATAAAATACGTGTGATAGATTCTTGATGAATGAGAATTTATGGTAGCAGAAGAAAGGAGGAAAACACAGGATGGGAAGATAAAAAGATTACCTTGCCAACATTCCTATCAGGACATGAAGCTGAAGGAATATTGGCCATAGCCCTGTTTTATCAATACTGAAGACACCCAATTTAAATGCAGGGAAAACAGAGATGGTATGCCATTTTCATTATAGGTCAGAAACTTTTCTTTCTCAAACCCAATGGAAATCACTAACAACCTATTACAAACTCCTCTTGACTCATAAGAAACCATATTACAATATTTTAATAGAATTATTCTTAAATTCAGTAGCATTGCTAATGCAACAGAAAAACATACAAAGCCTTGTCTGTCACATTTTGTTATGATAAAACTAGAATGGTGATAGCTGGGAGACCTGCATAAGACCGAACCAGGCCCCCTGAACATGGTGTTAGTTAGGAGGACTGGGCAGTCTATGGGGCCTCTGGTAGTGGATCGTTACTTATACCTAGTGTATGAATGTGTTTTGGGAGCCTGTTCCCTATGGAGAGATATTCTGTCAGCCTAGATACATGGGGGAGGACCTAGGCCCTGCTCCAAAAGATATGACAGACTTTGATGATCCCCCATGGAAGCCCTCACCCTTTCTGAGTAATGGATGAGGGTGGAATGGGGGGGTGGGGGCATGGGAGGATGGGAGGGAAAGGGAACTGGTATTGGTATATAAAAATTGTTTTTATTTAAAATAAATTTAAAAAAGAAAGCTGGACATTAAAAAAAAACTAGAATGATAGGCAAAGACTTTCAACATTTCTTAGTAAGGGATAAAGAGACATGACATGGGCTGAGCCTGATGCCTTGATTGCATTCTCTGGATCTACATGACAGAACAAGAAAATAGACACCTGGTAGTTTCCTTTTGACACATGTCAACTACAGCCCATGAATGTTCACACAAACACACAAATAAAAAGAATAACTACTACTACTACAAAAAAAGAGGCATGATATGTAAATAATTCCCTTGTATCAACAAAATGAATTCTGTAAGTGGTGCATCGTAAATTTGCAGCTTTTACTTCAGATCCACTGGCTAGAGTTTGATGGCACTCATATAAAGATTCAAAGCCGTGATCTTGTCCATTATGTCGTAGGCACCTATCATATTTAGTCCCCGAACAAGTTGGTCTCTTAAGGCAGTAGCTGTGAGTAACAAGTTCTTATCCGCTTTCCACTTAATAAATGCGTGGTAGATTCTTTCATTTAATGGAGTAGTGCTGTGAAAATTTAAATAATAATTATTTTAATTACCAGCCAAGAATATTATTTTAAACTGCTTAAAGGTTGTCTAAGTCTTCAAATCCATTTTCCACACTAATGTGAGACTAAATTTAACTGAAGACAGTATATATGAATATTTACAATGAGTATATATGAACATTTACAATGAGTCTGACACACAGAAGCAAACACTAGCACCACTTTTTTTTTTCAACTTATAGTCAACTATGAGACAATAATCACTGTGGGTTATTTACTATAAACCAATATGATAACAATGCACATTTTATTGCTTGGTTTTACTTGATCCTCATGACAACTTTCTAAGCTCATGTATTTATTTTACGGCAGAATCAGAAAGAAAGAAAAGGACATGTTTAAGGTCAGGAGGCCAGCTGGACTAAACTCCCAGTAGCTTACCCTGGCACAGCCCTTCCTTCTTCTACATTACATTGTATGGTTGCCTAGCAAGGACCACAAATACGTCATAAGTGAGAGGTCACCCTATACAGTAGAGTTTGTGTTAATGTAAATATTTCAAAACTATGTAATATCAAGATCGTATAAGTACAAGCATGAAAATACATTTGTACAAATGCCATTCATACTTACTTTCTTACAGGGATGCTATTTTCTGAGGTTGTCATGTTTAGTTTTTGTTGCAAAAATTCAAAGTTTATTTCAGTGATATTGTTGGCAACTATGTTGAATATCTTCTCTAAAATTTTCTCTGCATTTGAACATAGAAGAAACATTGTTTGTTTTGAAAAAAAGGACACCTGAGTTACTATTTAGTTTTCTTCTGTTTTATCAAACATCTATGTCAAATAAAATCAAAAATGACTATATAGAGCTGACTGTCTACAATTTGTACTTCCCATCCCATTCCTTCTAGAATCTGAGGAGACCCACAACCTAAAATACCTGCTTTAAAAGAATCTTACAAGCATGCTTACAAGCATGATTTTCAAATTCTTTACTTTTTTTTCTGGATTTGGAATGAATTTGATTCCTTCCTTCGATTCTGGCTGTTTTATATTAACTATTTGAAAATTAACATCAATTGCAAATATGGTATATAGGTGTATATTAATTAATATTAAAATAATTTGTTATTTAGTTAGGTTTTTTAAAATTTATTAAAGGCTAGGCATGCCAGGTTGTGGTACACACCTTAAATCCCAGCACTAAAGAAGCAGAGGCAGGTGGATCTCTGAGTTTGAGGCTAGCCTGATATACAAAGTGAGTTCCAGTATAGCCAGGGCTGTTAAACAGAAAAACCCTTTCTTACACACCCATCTCACCAAAAAAGACTAGCCATGGTAGCATGTATTTTTAATACCAGCACTCAGGAAGGCAAAGGAAGCCAATCTCTTGTGAGTTCAAGGCTAGCCTGGTCTACATAGTGAGTTCCAGGACAACCAGAACTACACAGAGAGAGATGCTATCTCAAAAAAGAATTGAGCATATTTGAGGGGGTGTGTATGTGAGTATAGGTGCCCACAGAAGGCCAACCTCTGTGAAATTTCAGGCAGTTGTGAGCTACCCAACATGGGTGCTGTGAACTGAACTCAGGATCTCTGCAAGAGCAGAATATGCTTTGACCATAGAGCCACTTTTTCAAATTCAAGAGTGTCTCTTTAAAGTAACACATTTCTTGATAGTGTTATATAGATATGTCTTTGTTAGCCAGAAGCTTCTACATCATTCCATCGAAAGTCATCTTTGGTGACTAGAATACTATGAGACTTTTCAAGAATTAAGGTTCCCCCATGCTCTGTATCATCTCAAATGCATTACGGCTTTTTCACTTGAAGAAAAAAAATATTATATATATATATATATATATATATATATATATATAGTATGTATGTATGTATGTATGTATGTACGTACACACACACACACACACACACACACACACACACACACACACAATTAATTCCTCGGACGAGATTTCATGCTAATAATAAAAAGAAAACCGAATTGCTCAATAATAATGTCCTTGTTAACTTCAGGATAAATATGTCTTCCCTGCTACAGCAAGGTGGTAAATGTCTAGATTTATCTCCTCCCCCAATCTTTGAGACATTGCCAATGCCTACTGCACTTTCCCCATCAAAAGTAGAGTAGCAAGGGTCATGTTTCTTTGAGATTTTGAGAAACAGAACTTTAGCATGGAGGTTTGGCCATGTAACTCAATCACCTTTCTCTGAGGTACTGCCCACAATAGAATACTATGTAGACACTTGAAACTCTGAAACTTATTTTGTAGAAATAAGTATATTTTGTAGTAATTAGTATAGTCAGCCTACATTAGTATAGACAGCTACTATGACTTAATTTTCTCTCATTTCTTCTATTAGTCAGGCTCAACTCTTAGGAAAGATTCTACATGGCAGCCATGTGCCTAGTGTATAATGTGGCTTAAAAGAGATGGTATTTTTCAATACAACTTGGTCATTAGCTTATACTGGCATCATCTTGGTCATGTAGTTATGGTATGTGATAGACTAGGGAGCAGTCGAAGATATTCCAGCCCCCCCCCCATGATGGATAATCTGAGTTATCAACACAAACGGATAGCTTTCAGAAAAGGAAGTTGACAAATGTTTTAATGTTACTACCAGCTCAAAGTCTCCAGGTAAAGCAAGTTCCTTTACTAAACAGATACCAGAAAATTTCTTACAAAGGCAATTCCTCCCTCATCACCCACCGTCTCTTTCGTCTGCTCTTTGGAGATAGCGTGTGATAGTATGCAGCTGTTTTCCTTTACAGATTTCCATCGGAGGTCTCAGCAAAGGATTGTCATCAAAATTTATCTCTTTCAGTGACAAAAGACTATAGATAGCACTAGGCAGAGCTGTCAGATGGTTTCCTAGTGAGGAAGAAATGGCAACAGATTATACCTTTCTGTAAAGTTAAACTTCAGGAACAGAAGCCAAGCACACATGCAGAATTCTACTGTCCAGGGAATGTATGCAGGGCACTCACAGTGATGAACGTTCCAAAGTTCTTACCCATGTGCGTGCTAGGAGGAAAAAGTAGGGTGCATTAAAAGCCACTGTGGTTTCTTTGTCTCCTAGGGGCCACAAGGTGAGCTGGAGATAATCTTTTTTTATAATATAGCAAGTGACTTAGCAGAGTAGGTATTATTAGTTTAAAAATAAACTTTTAAAAAACAGTTCCATGTAAATGTATACAGTATGCTGAGCATGTTCCCCCATGCCTCTGGCCCTTCTTTTTCTTACCCTCCCTCCTTTTGGTCTCTTTCTCTTTGTTCTCTACACTGTCACTTCTTTCATACATGGATGGGGTGGGTTTGGGTTTTTTTTTTTTTTTTGTACTTATGTAGGGAGTAAAAAAATGATAAAAGGAAACACTATTGTCTGCATGAGATAAGCATGTACGGCTCCAAGTGGGATGTCTCCATCAAATCCCTCCCCTCAGAGCTCAGAGAACTCCAGGGAGGAGGCAGGAAGAACTGAGAGAGACAGGGGGTGAAGCAGACCAAGAGAACAAGGCCCTTTAGAAAACAATTCTAAAGCAACATGTTTCTCTTATCAATATTTCATAGGGATCAGTAGTAGTGAAAATATCTGTAGCTGCAGTTTTGTGTGGAAAAAATTTATTCCAAATTCACTGGCTTGAATAAATTCGGGGTCATCTTTTGGTCATCAGTGATTTCCTACTCCTTTGTTCAAGTCTTATACCAGGGTTGGTCTGGGTGATTAGCAGAACAGAGCAGATATTATTTGACATCCGAGATTAAGTTTACACTGTCAGCAATCTCACTCTCTCCAATCATTCCCTCCAAAAGAAGTAGTTTTTTAAGTCATGAGCAGGGTTACACAGCAAAGAACCAAACGCTGCTTCCAACAGCCATGTGAGTAAACTTGGAAGCAGAGCCAATAGTCTCTCACTGAGGCTCCAGTTTATAGAGTGACTACTCTCATACAAGACCCTGAGACCCCTGAGACAGAAGTCGATGAAACCAGAGAGTCCCAATTCTCACCAGTTGAGGGAGACAAACAACCAAGGGTTACTGACATCATAGCTGATACCTGAAAGTGCTGAACATTCCATAGACACCAGAAGCCTGACAAAATTCAATAATTATGAATAAAGGAAAGTCACTCACAGTCATAGAACAAATCTATTTACATCTAAAAATAGAGCCACAAAATCTGTGACAGAAATATACAAAAAGGACTGCTATTCAAAATATACAAAGAACAATTAACATTTAACAATAACCAAACTGAGAAATAGTTTACAGTTCTAACAGACACCTTACCAAAAGGTATACAGATGACAAACAAGTATACAAGACACTTCACCTCATTCATTATCATTGTGATGCAAATTAAAATAACAATGAGATATTACCAGATACTTATTTGAGTAGTTAAAAGCTTATCAGAAAATTGGGATTCAAGACCCTGAACTACCACTTTTGAGCATATATCTAAAGGATGCACACTCATCATACCACAGGACATTTGCTCAACTATGTTCATAGTAGCATTATTCATCATAGCCAGAACCTGGAAACAACCTAGATGCCCTTCAGCTGAAAAATGGATAAAGATAATGTGGTACATTTACACAATGGAGTATTATTCAATGGTAAAAAAAACAATGACATCTTGACATTTGCAGGCAAATGGATGGAACTAGAAAAAAACCTGAGTGTGGCAACCCAGACCTAGAAAGACAAACATGGTATATTTACTCACTTATAAGTGGATACTAGATATAGAGCAAAGGATAACCAACCTACAGTCCACAACCCCAGAGAAGCTAGATAAGGAAGAGGACCCTAAGAGAGATACACATAGATCCACACAAGATGGGGAAATAAACAAGATCTCCTGAGTAAATTGAGAGCAGGAGAGGGAGAGAAGAGGGTGGAGGGGAGTGAGGAGTGGGAGGTAAACAGAAGGGAATGGGATGGTGGAGTTAAGGGAAGGACAGAGAAAAAGAGCAAGGAAAGAATGATCATGACAGAGGGAGCTATTATGGGATTATCAAGAAACCTGGTACTAGGGAAATTCCCAGAATACACCAAGATGACCCCAGGTAAAACTCCAGTCAATAGTACAGAGGGTCCCTGTAATCAGATTGAGGACTACCATAATTATCATAATAGAATCTTCATCCAGTAACTGATGGGAGGAGAGAGAGAAATCCACATAGAAAGCTTAACCACCGGGTCAAGCTTCTGGAGTCCAGTTGAGAGGAAGGAGCTATAATATGAGCAACGGAGTCAAGACCAGGATGGGGAAACCCACAGAAACAGTTGGCCTGAGCTAGTGGGAGCTCACTGACTCTGAACTAACATCTGGGGAACCCACATAGGACTGAACTAGCTAGGCCCCCTGCATGCTGGTGATAGGGGGTGACTTGGGTAATGTGTGGGATCACTGGCAGTGGGACCAAGATCTATTCCTAATGCATGAATTGGCTTTCTGATGGAGAGATGGCTTGCTCAGCCTAGACACAGGGGGACGGCCTTGGTCCTGCCTCAACGTGGTGATGGGAGTCTCTTCATTGACTTCCTTGGGAGGCCTTACCCTCCCTGAGGAATAAAAGGGGGAATGGGATGAGAGGAAGGTGGAGGGAGCAGGAGGAGGGGAAACTGGGGTTAGTATGGGAAAAACAAATAAAAACCTAAATTCTCTATGTGAAAGAGTTTAAAAAAAAAAAAAGTCAAAACCTGGTCACTGACAACTACAAACATTGTTCAGGTAGAGCAACAGACTTCTCTGTGGTTACTTGTGGGAATACAAAGTGTGACAGCTATTTTTGGAAGATGCTTACTGTTCCCCTGGTGCATCTTCAATCTTCACTGTCTGTTAATTTTCAATACATCAGTGTTATTGTATTTGAAGTATATCTTTGTAGACAACATCTACTTATGTGTTTCTATTTAAAGCCCTGCTTACAGCTATGTCTTTCTCTTCCCTTCCAATACTCTCTGTCCTTTAGAGTGTTTAACAAAATAATGTTCAACGTAATTATTAACACAGTTGGAATTAAGGGCCGAGGCTGTAGTTTAGTGGTAGAGCACTTGTGTATGAAGCATGAGGACTTAACCTCAATCTCTAATCTGCCAAAACAATGTGATAGTTGGTTTTAGATAAAACCCTTTACCACTTGTTTTTCTATTTGTTGTCTGCTAATCCTTTCTGACTACCTGAATCACTTTTCACTAGTTGCTTTCAAGATTATTTTCCTTATCTCTGCTTTCCTACAGTTTTACTATACCATGTGTCTATGTTTTTCTTTTTCTTAAATTTGAAATAAGGTTGTTTTACATGTCAATCCCAGTCCCTCGCCCTCCCATTCTCCCCTATCACCCCCACCAAACCCTAGCCCATCCTTTTTTTGCCCCCCCCCCCAGGGAAAGTGAGGCCTTCCATGGGGAGTCTTCAAAGTCTGTTATATCATTTGGGGCAGGGCCTAGGCCCTTCCCCATGTGTCTAGGCTGAGAAAGTATCCCTCTATGTGGGATGGGCTCCCAAAGTCCATTCATACACTAGGGATAAATACTGATCCATTACTAGAGGCCTCATAGATTGTCCAGTCCTCCTAATTAACACCAACATTCAGGGGGTCTGAGTCAGTCCTATGCTGGTTTCCCAGCTATCAGACTGGGGTGCATGAGCTCCCCCTTGTTCAGGTCAGCTGATTCTGTGGGTTTCTCCAACCTGGTCTTGACCCCTTTGCTCATCACTTCTCCCTCTCTGCAACTGGATTCTGGGAGTTCAGCTCCGTGTTTAGCTGTGGGTGTCTGCTTCTGCTTCCATCAGCTCCTGGATGAGGCTCTAGGAGGGCATCAATCTCATTATCAGGGAAAGGCATTTAAGGTAGCCTCTCCACTATTGCTTAGATTGTTAGTTGGGTTCATCCTTTTCTTAAGGTAAAATTCAAATAACATAGTATACATTTCAAGGAAAAATTCAGTAGTATTTAAAGATTAACAGCCCTCACATCTGCCTAGGCCCCCATATCATCATTCTCTTCCATTATTGTAGTACATAATCCTAAGTGATAAACCTAAAAGGATATATCATCATCACCAAGACTCTGTAGCTTATGACTCATGCTTAATGCTACATAGCCTATGGGTCTAAACAAATCTGTCATAATATGTGTCTATTATTATAGTACTAAGCAGAATATTTTCACTGCCCAAATCCATTCACTTGCATTCTGTCTATTCACCTCTGCACACACATACAGCTCGTTGAGAATACTAACTGTCCCATAGTTTGAAATTGAAGCTTATATTCACATTGGGTTTTCTTCTACCTCTAAATATTCATTGTAGATTCCTCTGTGTCTTTCTGTTACTCGGCAGTTCATTTCATTTTAGTACTAAACAGTAAAGCAAGTTTCAGATTTTACAGGACTGAAATAAGAAGGTTTTTCTTCTGATTACAATCACATGTTTGTCAAATAAATGTGTGTCAGCAATAGAATAAACAAGAGTCAGTCCCTTCACATGGTGGGTTATATGGAGCAATGAGTGAATGCATTCAACCACATGGAAACAATGCAAGTGATTATCTTAGATGAAGAGACACCATGATCATGGTAACTCTTAAAAAGGAAAACATTTAATTGAGGGGGCTTGCTTATATTTAAAAGTTTCAGCTCATTATCATTATGGCAGGGAGTAAGGCAGTGTGCGGGCAGATGTGGTTCTGGAGCTGAGAGCGTTACATCTTGCTGGTATCAGGAAGCTGAATGACTGTCACTCTGAGGGAAGCTTGAGAAAAGAGACCTCAAAGCCTGTGCCTTCAGTGACACACTTTCTTCAAGGCTGTGCCTCCTAATAGTGTCACTTCTTTGGGGGCCATTTTCTTTCAACCCACCACAGTGATCTTCATAATGCTGAGTAAAAAAAAAAAAAAAAAAAACAAAAAAACAAAATGCACAATATAGTATTTACAGCTTTGCTTAAAGCAAGTTGTTGGAAACCATGATCATGGTTAACTTTGGCTGGTTAATGGATGTTTATCCATTAATGGATGAAAGCAGGGCAGTTTTGTGGGATTTATCTGTTTCATGATTCATGTTCCCAAGCCTGGGTTTGTTCAGTTTAGAAAATCTGTTGAGCTGCATATTGGCAGTATATACTCTTTCAGTCTGGATATCATACTCTGGTAAAAATATTTTTCAATCAACAAATGTATATGTGGAAAAGGGACTCTTACACACTGCTGGTAGGCATATAAAGTATACAGCCACCATGGAAATCAGTGGTGATGGGAGTCCTTACAAAATCTAAAACAAAGAAAACCCATCCATTGAGCTAGTGATACCACTCCTGGGATACACATGAAGACTCTCGGGTAACATACCATGGCCTACGTGTGTTTACTGATGTACTATTTACAAAATGGAATCCACTGAGATGTTAATCCAGAGATGAATGGACAGATGTGCAAGTGAGAATTATATTTAATCTTCAAAAGACAAATGAAATTATGATATCTGTAGAAAAATGAATAGTGGAGATCATTATGTTAGTCAAAGTAAGCCAGAGTAAGAATGACAAAGCTCTATCTTTCTCATATGCAGACTCTAGATTTCTATTTTATTATTTTCTAGTTTACTATTTTATGTGTATGAGAGTTTGGCTGCATGTACGTATACATACCATGAATGTGCCTGGTTCACATGGAGATCAGAAGATGACAATGGATCTCCTAGCACTGGAATTACAGACAGTTATGAGCTTCCATGTGGGTGTTAGGAATCGAACCTGGGTCCTCTACAAAAATGACAGGTGCTCCTATCTGCAGAGCCAACTCTCTAACCCCATGACTCTAGACTTAAATTTGTGTGTGTGCTTGTATGTGTGTGTACATATGCATGCATGTGCACATAAATGTGTATGTCTGTGATAGAAGTACCAAGAGAACCATGGGGGAAGAGGAAAAGACCTTATAGAAAAGGAGAGGAAAGACAAAAATAGAGTAACAGAATAGATGTGTCACGAGAGCAGAAAGCTGGGCTGGCAAGAGGGAGGCAGTAGCATGGGGGAGTGGGTGGAGGAGGAGAGAAATAAAATCAAAGTATAATGGTATTGTAGTGGTTTGAAAGAAAATGGCCCCGAAGGGAGTGGCACTATTAGAAGGTGTGGCCTTGCTGGAGTAAGTGTGTCATAGTGGAGGTGGGCTTTGAGGTCTCATATTTGCTCAAGCCATGTCCAGTATCTCAGACCACTTCCTGTTGCCAACAAGTCAAGTTGTAGGCATGTGGCTACTTCTCCAGCACCATGTCTGATGGACACCCTTCTGTATGCTGTGAATATATGTTTCTGTTATTGGTTGATAGATAAATGGACAGGCAGGATTTAGCCAGGCAGGAATGTTGAACAGCGATAGAGAAAGGTACCATGTCTGCCTGTATACCACCATGTCAAACCATGATGTTAATGGACTAAGCCTCTGAAAATGTGCCAACTCAATGAAATGTTTTTCCTTTATAAGAGTCACCATAGCAATGGTGTCTTTTCACAGCAATAGAAACCCTAACTAAGACAGGTATATATGTATAAAATGCACAATAAAGCTCATTACTCTGTATGACACTAAAAAAAAAAAAAAAAAGAAAGAAAAAAAAAGAAAAAAGAGGAAAAACAGAAACAAAAACATAGCTTGAAGATCCCTTCAGGGTTCTGTTTGGGTGATGTAGACAGGGATAATACTATTCAAAATATTTAATTACTTATCTGGAAGAGGGTCTGTGCATTAGAACCAAGATTTCTGTAGACAACAGCAACCAGGAACACCAGGCAATAGGCTGTCTGGGAGGGTGGGGTATAAAAACAGCACTGTGGCTGTAAAGTAGACTGCAAATAAATCTGGGCTGTGTCACTGAGGAATTGTCTTCCCTGGGTTCAATGTGCCCATCTACTTTTCTTTCGTTTGCTATTCTGTCTTTGGGGGGTGCAGAGATGGCAGCATCTGTTAAAAATCACAAGCTTGATCATTCCACATTGCACTCTAGAGCAGTGGTTCTGAACCTGTGGGTCATGATCACTTTGGGATCAATGCATCCTTTCACAGGGGTCGTCCCAAACCATTGAACAGTACAGATATTTACATCACCATCTGTAACAGTAGCAATGGACATAGCCTTATGGTTGGTGGTCATCCCAACTGTACGAAAGGGTCGAAGCATGACGAAGGTTGAGAATGACTGTTCTAAAGAGTCAATATTGTCCCCATTCATTCATTTTCCTCAGTCACAGGTTTGGAAACTGCTTCCTGCTATTGGTACATCTGTGGCAACTTTAACTCTCTTTATTTAGCCCTTCTAAAAACCAGACTGCATTTAGATCGGAACTTGGGGGGCCTTTCCACTGATCTGTACCACCCCAGCTTTTCTTTGGAGCTTGATTGACAGAATATTTTCTAATTCTAATGTGGAACAACAGAGAACTGCCCTAGTCCGAGCAGGGTACATGTCCCCGGCCATTCTGCCTCGATGTTGCCCTAACTCAAGCATATCCATGGAATGTACTTCCAGTTGGGAGTTCCAGTCTCCAATAGAGCAGAAGGCTCTAGGGGAGATTTTGTTTGTGTTGTTTTCTTTGTCTCTCTTTATTTTTTAATCGTTTATTTTTGAGAACTCCATACATAAGTACTGTATCTACATCACATCCACCTCTCCCTCTCCCATTTCCAACTGCTGCCATGTTTCCTCTTTCAAATTCATGATCTCTCTCTTTATTTTTTTTTAGATTTTCACTAGACTTTATTGAAATCATGGTTCTGGCTAACAGAAGAATCTTGAAACATTCATTTAGGAAAAGACTCTTAGGAAACATTCAGCACAATGCTGCCGATCCAAGTTTAAATGATACAAAATGTAATCTGTGGTGTGAAAAGAAATGATCATGATCTCTTCTTTAATTATTAGTACATGAATAAACATGTATGAGTATGGTATATATGTAAATGTAACCCACTGAGCCCATTTAGCTTTGTTCATATGTACCATGTCTAGGGCTGACCATTTGAGGTTGGACAACCTATGTGGAGCTTGTCCATAGAGAATGTTGATCTTTCTCCTCTCTGCAGTCACTGATAACCTTTCACCTAGTGGTGGGGCCATGTGGAATTTCCCATCTACTGTAGAATGGCAACTAAGGTTGTCACTATGCTGGTCTTGTTCAAGCAACTGCATTGTTGAGAGTTCATGGGTGCAGCTTCCCTATGAAGCCTAGGGAACACTTGGTAACAGCAGACATCCTAAGCCTCTGACTCGACTCGCAGAATCTCCATGCCTCCACTTGCAAATTCCCCCCCCCAGCCTTGGATGTAAGTATTGCATTACAGACGCATAAATTGGGGTTGGGCCCCACAGCCACTTATTCCTTGCATTGTGACCAGGTGTGGATCTCTGCAATAGTGTCCATCTGTCACAAAAAGCTGCTTTGATGAGGGGTGAGAGCTACATTTATCTGTGGTGAAAGGATAAGTATTTAGAAGACAATAAAATTATACTGGTTGAGGCAACTGCCAAGAGTAGATAGTCCTGTCTGGTAGCTGCTCGTAGTTGGCTAGGTTTACATTACTGGCTTGAATAGCCTTCAATTAGACAACTGCCAGTTGCTGCAAGGATTAAAGTGCATTACTGACCTTTGATGTCTTCCTGGTCCAATCATTCTTGTATTTCATATGCTTTACAGCTGTGTAGGACTACTGGTTCTTCCTCTCCCTTGACACCTTGTGTAACACTTTCTGACATTAGGAGAGCTAGTTCTTGGGGACCAGGCCTCCAGGTCCATCCCAGCTCAACTCTGCCAAGTCCTGTATCCAAAGTGTGTGGTGTCTTGAGCAATAGGGTCTTTCCTTCAGATTCCAGGAGGTGATCAAGGGCAATGGCAGTAGTTCAAATGGATGGTTTTGGAATTCTCTAGGTTCTCCTGACCAATAGCCAAAAAAGATGCTTCTTGTGCCTGGTACTGTAGTCTTCATTGGATAGTCCATGGCTCTAGTGGGGAGCATTGTCACCCCAAATAGCATACCTTCATCTAAACTATGTATCTATGTATATACATATATCACATGCAATTCTAAGTCATCATATATGATCCCTTATGTCTTTTTCAAACATCTTTGATGTTATTTATGCTTCCCCTTCCTCTGTATTGCCCTCTTTCCCCTTTCCCACATAAAGTGTCCCCATTCCTTCCACCCCAGCATCTGCTTCCTTCCGTTTCCATCTCTCGAGCTCTTTTCAGGGCAAGAAAACAGTTCTTCAGCTTTGTGCTCATTTCCTGTAACTGCATAAAGGACTGTGTGCCTCTCTCCCTCTGATGCCCACTTAATGCATTGTCTGACTTCTTTGTCAGCAAAACTGCACTTTAGCACCAGTGTACTACTTATAGATTCTACTTACTATCTAGTATGCTTGGCACGTACCTCTGAGGTCTAGGTGTTGTAGAAATTTTAAAGACAGGAAGGATGGTGGCAGAGAACTTATTTGATTGTTGTATGCGTGTAGACTAACCAGACTTTTCAGCTCCCCAATATTTTTTGGAATCTCTTTGATTGCATTGTTGGAGATGTCAAGTGTTTTCAGTTGAGTCATACTGGACAGCTCTTCTGGGAGTCTTGTTAACTGAAAAGATGATTAAACAATTATGCTTTTATAAATTCATAAATATTTGTATCACTACACTTCCCTCCTGAAAACAAGTAGAAGAATAAACTTCTCTTATAATCTTTTTCTAAGGAGATCCCCTCATTCTGTCACAGATTATTTGTGACTTCACATCCTAAAATCCTCAAGCTTTTGTGTAGCACCTGTGTACCCCCAGTCTGATTAGTGCTCCGTAATTAGGCCTGTTGCTTAGAGACCACTTTCTTTCCATGCCCTAGCTCTGTGTCTACCACCGTCCACCCTTGTCTTTCTTGTCTCCCTAAGGAAAACACTGCATTGCCTTTTGTTCTTCCTTGAAATCTGTCCAACTACTCAGTCACACTATCTTATTCTCATCATAGAGAGAAATAGAGGAAGACACCCACACCCTTACACACATGCATGCACCACATTCAAACACCATACACATATACATGCAACACACCCAACAGACATATACACGCATACAACTCAACTCACACATCACACACACATACACACACAAGAGTGAGTAGGACTGAAGTTATGTTATGTAAAGCAGAATAAACATCATGCATAAACATGACTAGGGAGGAGGTACCCAGTATGGAGAAGAGATAAGAACTTCAGAGAAATATGTTAAGTAAGCAAGCCTATGCAAGACTGAGTGCCAAGCTTATGAAATGGGAATAAGAGCAAACAAATATTCTTTTTGAAAATTTCATTTAATTTTCTTTGAGACAGTGTCTGTCTATGTAGCCCTGGCTGGCTGCCCTGGAATAGACTACATACACCAGGTTACCAGGTTGACCTCAAACTTACAGAGAGCCACCTACTTCTGCCTCCTACCCCTGCCATGTTGCGATTAAAAACATAGCCACCACGCCTGACTAGCTAGTCTTTAAATGCTTTCTCAGTGTTTCTAGAGAAAGTGAGAACTCTGACTCTGATGATGGGGCTGCTGTTGCCCATGGAAGGTCTCTGACTCACCTGACACATCTCCAGATGATTGGTTGTCGATCAACTATTAAATAAGCTAATCTCTTAAGTATTCTATCTCCTTTCAATCACAAAGGATATTCGTCTAAAGAAGGATTCTTACAATGTTTTTCCATCTAAAGATTTTTGAAATGACGTTGCAGAGACTACCTGGTGCTTTTGGCAACTACTTTGACCCTGAATTTCCTTCCTTCCCCCTTTCTCCTTCCTTCTTTCCCTTTTCCTTTCTTCCTTACCTCCTTTTATTAACAGTCTTACTCTGTATTCCAGGTTCAACTTCCTGTCCTCCTGCCCAAGCCTTGTGAGTGCTGGGTCATGCACCATTATGCCAAATACAACACATTAAGAACAGTCCCCTGTAGGACTGGAGAGATTGTTCAGCAGTTAAGGGTGCTTGCTGCTCTTGGAAAGGACTCGAGTTTTATTCTCAGAACCCACATGACAATTCACAATTAGCTTTACCTCTAGTTCCAAGCGATCTGATACTCTCCTTCTAGCTTCCTTGGGATCTAAGCAGGTACACACACACACACACACACACACACCAAAGCAAAGCATTCATATAAATAAAATAAAAAATATTTTTAAAAAAGAATCATCCTCTGGAATGAAGTTTGGTGACATGGACAATAACAGAAAAACCAACTGGAGAGCACAGGGTGAGCAACTGCTGGAGTAAACTAGGCCTAAAACACATGTTGAACATGTACAAGGACAGAGAAAATGACTTTGGAAATTCCAGGGGAAATTGCTAGGGATTATGTGTGTTAAGTAGATGTGATGAGGTCAAAGAAAGAGTTAATGAAAAGGAGAGAGTTAGGTTTGCAGAATAGAATATTACTTTTACTATGTAGAGATATGTTGTATTTGTTTATGTTGTGGAATATTTAACTAGGTAAAGATATGTTGCATTTGTTATGTTGAGGAGTATTTGTTTAACTAGGTAAAGATGTGTTGCTGTTTTACCTTGCCTGCTTAAGGTATCTGATTGGTCTAGTAGAAAACTGAATGGCCAATAGCTAGGCAGAAGTGGGATAGACAGGGCTGGTGGTGGGCAGAGAGAATATGTACGGGGAGGACGATAGGCTCAGGGAAGAAAGAAAAGAGATGCCAGTGAGACACCAGGGCCAGCCAGCAGGAAAGTAAGACATACAGAATGAAAGAAGGGTAAAAATCCCTGAGGCAAAACATAGATGAATATAAGCAGGTTAAATGAGGTATAAAACTAGTGGGACAAGCCTAAACTAAGGCTGAGCATTCATAATTAATAATAAGTCTCTGTGTCTTTACTTGGGAGCTGGCTGATGACCCACAGAAAATTCCAACTTCGATTAGGGACATGGTCTAGAAGAGTCACAAGGCACAGCTAGAGAGACTCAAATGTGTGTATTTTCATTCAAAAGCACCTTCACTGCAACTTGTCTCATTCTTCATTCCATGTGCTCGAGTCATACACTACTACTGCGGCAGACTTGCTGAAAATGTATTGCACAGTAGGTGTAACATTATAAAGGCCAGATGACTTTGGTTCTGAGCTATAACCCCAGCCATAGATCATAGAGATTCTTTCTGAACAGAAAAGAAGATTTTTAAGGACAGATTTTTGAGGTATTTTGCTTTGGATAATCAGCATTAAAGATAGTCAGGTGATAGCTGTGCTTATTGAGGTCTATGGATATATCAGTAATTTTTTAAAAAGTAAAGTATTTCCAAGGCTTGAGGTATAATTTAGTAGCAGAGAACACACCTACTATGTGTAAGGTGTGGGTTTGATCCATAACACCTTAGTAAGTAAATAAATTAATAAGGAAATAATTAATCTATCAATTTCAGAATAATTTCCAAATAAAATAGCTTGAAATCTGAAAAATATATTTATGAAGAAATTCATTAAAGCAGTATCATGAAGAAAACTTCTAAATGCTTAACAGGATTAATTATATAAATCATGTTATTGGGAAGGAGAAATGCTTATGTAGGATATAATTTTAAATTGAATTTGTAGTTTTTTATAACTGCTTATAAATCTATATAAGAAAAGGAGAGTATAATTACATTAAAACAAAATATGAGTTTTATTATGGTATACATGTGGAATAACTGTATCACCTCAATTTTCTAGATTATCAGCAACTCATTGCTGGTAGTAGGGATCAAACCCAGAGCCACACACGAGTTGGCCAAGTGATAACACTGAACCACACTCGCAGCTCAACAATATAATACACAAAACTTTATATGATACACAAAACTTTAAAACTTCTTACAATAGGGGCTCAGTAGATGACTAGGTCAAGAAAGTGTCTGCCAACATGAAAATCTGAATTTGAATCCACAGCACCCACTGAGAAGTTGGGACCATGCAACCCCAGTGCAGAGGGGATGAGTTGGAGACACGTTTATTGTACAGCTAGTCTAGACAGTCCATGAGCTCCAGTCCAGTTCAGTGAGAGACTGTCTCAAAAAGTGAGGTGGAAACAATGGGTATGGTGACACCACATTTAATCCCAGCAATCAAAGAAGAAACAAAACAGGTTGATCTCTGTGAGTTCAAGGCCAACCTGTTCTCACAGCAAGTTCCAGGGCTCACAGGACTTTACACTGAAACCGTGTTTATAAAAAAAAAAAAAAAAAGCAAAATTGAAGAAGACACCTTTGGCTTCTGTATACACTCGGGTGTTCTGTGTGCACTCAGGTGGACCCACATGCATCCATGTACACACCTACAGGAATGCATACATAACAACATACAGACACTTTTTAAAAATCTTCCCGTGAACTAAATGGAAAGCAATCTACAAAATCACCTGCTTTGATTCACATTGCAATGAATTGAAATGTCCCATAAAGCTTTTGTGTAGAGTGGTATGTCTCTAAGCCTTGTTTCCAAACATAGACTATTTCATCTGGCTAAAATACACATAAAAGCAGGGCAGGAACCTAGAGGGCAGGCTGATGCAGAGGCCATGGAAGGTGCTGCCTACTGGTTTGCTCCCCATGGCTTGCTCAACCTGCTTTCTTAGTGAACTCAGAACCACCAGCTCAGGAATGGGGCTACCCACAATGGACTGGCCCCTCTCCATTTGATCACTAATTAAGAAAATGCCTTACAGCTGGATCTTAGGGAGGCATTATTTTCAACAGAGGTTCCCTCCTCTCTGATGACTCTAGCTTGTTCCAAGTAAACATAAGACTCTCCAAGACACCTGTACAGTGTGTCTCCGGTTGAGAATCCTCTAGTCTTCTCCTCCATGCTGAAAAGAGCACACTTACCTTTTTCCCACTTGTCTGACTTAAATCCAGCTCCTCCAAGGTGTGCAGCTGGCAGAGTTCAACAGGAAAGTGTGCGAACTGATTGCTCGAGAAGTTTAATTTCCGGATACCTTTTAATTTAGATATATCGGAAGGTATTTTCTGTAACTTATTTTCTGAAACATCAAGTACTTGCAAGTTTTTTAAAGCACACAGTTCCTTGGGGAAAATTTCAAACTTATTACCAGACAGAATGAGTACATGGAGTGACTCCATGGCAGAGATGCATGGTGGAATTGTCTTTATTTGGTTTTTACCAAGATCCAGGTATTCAAGATTAGTGAGTGAACACAGGTATTCTGAAAGTATGGGGAGCTTGTTTCTATTCAACTCTAAGTGAAGCAGTTTCGTACTGAAAGATATATCCATAGGGATTTCTGAAATATAATTTCCATTAAAACTCAAGTAGTCAAGTGATGGTAAAGCACACAACCCCACTGGGAAATACATTATATTGTTATAATTCAGTTCAACTCTGGTTATGTTTCTGCAGTTTTTTATTTCAATTGGGATATGTGTGATTTGATTGCCTGAAAACTCCAGGCTGTTTATATTATTGAGATGTGAGATTTCTTCAGCCATTTTTATCATTTTATTTCTGTTTACATGGAGCTGTTTCAAATTTTTAAGCCTATGGATTTTCCTAGGAAGCTCTTCTATGTTGTTATCACTAAGACTAAGACACTCCAGCATCACACAGTGAGAAATTTTCTTTGGTATCTTTTTCAGTAAGTTTTTATCAAGGTTAAGAAGTCTGAGTTCTCTGAAATTCTCAATTTTCGGTGAAATGGCTTCCAATTTATTGTCAGCTAGCTGAAGTTCTTTTATTTTGGGCAACTGAAAAATTTCCACGGACAAAAAAGTAAGTTTATTATGATCCATTAAAAGGTTTTCTAAGTTCTTCAGTTCCCGGACCTCTTTTGGCAAACTGCCTATCATGTTTCCAGTAAGGTTTAGTGAAACTAACTTTGGAAGAAAGCATAGGAATTTAGAAAATATTGTTAATTGGTTGTATTCCAGATTGAGAACTTGCAAGTTTTGCAAACTAGACAAAGACTGTGGTATATTTGTTAACATATTTTTGCCCAAACTCAAAGTTTCCAAATTTCTAAGACTTTCTAAGCCAGAAGAAGGTAAATTCTCAATGTAATTACTATCTAAAAAGAGTTGTCTCATATTCCCAAGTTGTAATAATTCTTTAGGTATGCATGATATCTGGTTGTAACTGGCATTTAGTATCCCTAAATTATGAAGCAAATGAATTTCCAAGGGAATCGATGACAATCCATTTTCTTGCAGGGACAGAATTTCAAGTCCTAGCAGATCCCCTGGATCTGCACCTTGTAAAGTTTTTATTTGATTCTTATCTAAATATAGATATTTTACATGTTTGGTTTTTAAAATGTCTGCAGGGAATTCTTGTAAATCCTTGCCCTCAAGATTAACTGTAAAGTTATCTCCCTCTAAGTCAAATTCTTTCTGATTTTCATTAGAGGCTTGTGGACTAACGTTCTCCTCAGATGGGACTTTGACTTTTTGATAGTCTTCCATTGCCTTGGTCTCTGATGACACGAAGGTCCGGGGCATTTCTGGTTTTGATAGTGGGGTGACATCTGCTATGCTGGCATCAGAAAACAGAATGTTTTTATCGTCTTCATCTCTGTTAAGCAGGCTTGGAGAAGAAACTGATGATTCTTTTGTGACCTTTGAAGGATTTGCTTCGTAAACACGATTCGAATCTCTCCTTTCCGAGTAAGAAGAAACTTCATTTGAGGGGTCTGATGTGTCTTCAGTTAATCCAGCCTCCTCTTCTGGTGACTCAGCTCTAGTGATTTCTCCCAGCTCCAAGTTACTCTCATCTTCAAACATCTTATCTACTGGTAGCTCTTCTACCAACTCAAGACTGTAACTCTACCTTTTTGTGTTCTTTTTCCCTTCGAACCTACAAGACCAATGCTGAAGTTAAAATAAGTGTAATAAGGATGTTAAAATTATATATTGGAGGCTAACTGCCTATCTTTACCCCTCCCTTCACCTCTCCAAATTCAATCCTCCAGTTTCATCCTTAGCTCTGTTCTGTAGACCACTTTCCATGCCCCTGCTCCCATCTCCAGTGGACCACACAGATCTTGCCTAATTATGTTCCCTCCTCCCACTCATGGTTTTATCCCAGATCCCAACTCCAGCAGGCACTCCCTGGGAACCCAAAGGCCACTCTGACCAGGGAAACAGGTAGGCTAACAGCAGATCTTCACCTCTCCCTCCTCTTCTCCAAGTTCAATTCCCATTCTCACCCCGAGCTCTGTAGCAAACCTTCTTCTGTGGTCTCTCTCCCCTCTGCCCCTAGTCCCATGGGACTAAGCAGATCCTGGTCGAACACCTGTTTTTCCCTTCTCTGAACCCCTCAGTACTGCTCCCTGCCAACCCACTCCTAAGTGTCAGCTCCCAATACCCAGAAACACATTTTACCTGAAACCCTCTCAGGCCACACCTGCTAGGCAACACACACAGTGAAAACCTGTCTTGAAATTTTTCCTTTGGGATGGATTAGGATTAAAGAGTGAGTGACTTCACTAGTCCTAATGTTTAATAAGGAACTGAGATTCACCCCACCCCCTTTTTTTTTTCCTCTGAGACAGAGGCTCACTATGCAGCCTTGGCTGGTCTGGAACACATTATGTAGACGAGAGGCTGTCCTCAAATTTAGAGACATCTGCCTGCTTCTGCCTCTAGAGTACTGAGATTAAAGTCATGTGTCATTATGCCTGGCTTTTTTTGCGGAGGGGGAAGGGCAGAGAGTTTAAATTATATATTTGGCTGGCATATATATTAGTGGGTTTCATTTATTACAGCATTTTTATGTATTTGTCCTTTTTTTTTTGAGATAGAGTCTTATGTACCCTAGGATGTCCTTGAACTATGTAGCTGAGAATACACTTGCACCTCTGATCCTCCTGTCTCTACCTCCTGAGTGCTTGGATTAGAGGCTGGAGCTACTATATCTGACTTGTAAGGTGCTAGGGATTGATCCCAGGGACTTGGTGCATGCTAGGCAAGCCACTCTGCTGAATGAGCCACACCCCCAGCTCCATACACTTTGTTCTTATTCATGCCCTTGCTCCGTCTTCTCCAGCCCTTTTACTGATGTCTCTCCCACCTTCACCTACCTTGAATCCCCTTCTCTACTCTCAGGACATTTGAATGTCATTACCTCCCTTCTCTGCTCCCTCCCTCATCCCTTAAATGTAGTCCTCTTTCTCATCTCTTTTCCTGTCTCCTCTTTGGGGGCCAAAAAAGCATCCAGGAGTGTTTTACTCATTAAACCTAGATTTTTTTTTTCTCTCTCTTTCTCTCTTTTTTGTTTTGTTTTTTGAGACAGGGTTTCTCTGTATTGCTTTGGAGTCTGTCCTGGAATTCCCTCTGTAGACCAGGCTGGCCTCATACTTACAAAGATCCCTCTGCCTCTGCCACCACACCACACCCCCCCCAATGCTGGGATTAAAGGCATGCACCACCAATGCCTGGCTCTAAACCTACACTTTTACTTCAATTTTATTCAGATTACTATGTCATCAGAGAGGCCTAATTGTAGGGTATGGGAAATTTTCATTATAACTTTCCAATAAATCCTTTTATTTTAAACTGATGGTGGTTAATCTCAATCCATTATATTCTCACATGAATTTTGAAACCAGTGTCAGTTCACAAAATGTCTTGCTTGGATTTCCGTTAGAGTTGACCACATGGGGTTAAAGGCCAGAGTTCAAGAAGTCTGATGTATGGTGGTGATACTCCCCAGTGTTTGGCTGTTTTTATGCTTAAGCTACTCTTCTTTGTAATTTAACTATAACATGAAGATCTATGGTTTTATTTTGAGACTAGCTTTCTCTGTAGTAGCCCAGGTTGGTGTGAGCTCTAACTGTCCTAGCCTTTGACAACCGAGTGCTTCTTCGTAGATGTAATTTTGCTAAGAATCGTAATGTCTTTTGGGAGTCTTAGGCAATCCCCAAAGTGGTCTCTACCCACAGGTTGAGGACGGCTGGTTTAGAGGGACAGGTCACCCCTCAGGAAAATCAGGCACTGGAGAAGAAATAAGATGTCTCCTCCAGCTTCTTAGAGGTAATAACTGATAATCTCTCATGTTTTTCCCCAGCAAATGCGGATGACACAGAGAGCTCAATATATGGTATTGTTTTCCAGTAAGGTAAACACTAGTTACATGTAGCTTTTCCAATGGAAACTAAGTAACAAGTAAGCTCCTCAGTCACAGCCATACTCAGATGTTCAATAGTCACATGTAGCTAGTGACTACCTTATTGAATAGTGTAGACTGTTAACATTTTCATTATGGTATGAACCAGGTTGTTTGAAAACAAGTATCTAAGAAAACAAATTTTTAAAAATAACTGCAAAGTATTCTTTTGAAGGAGTTGCCATCATTACCCAGTGATATGGCTTGGCTGGTAAAGGTGTTTGCTGCCAAGCTGGACAACCTGAGTTCGATGCCTGGCTGGAGAAGGTCAAAGACTGCTTCTGAAACTTGTCCTGTGGCCTCCACATGTGTCCCCCTCCCTGTATGTGCCTACCTCCCTGTCTGCACATGAACTCTCCCCCACAAATGTAAAAGCTGAACTATACAGCCAAATAAAATGCTAAAAATGTATTTGAGAAAGTCTCCATTCTCATGAGCATTAAGTCCTATGGCCAAATTAGATAAGCAAAAACAAGTCCGAAGTGAACAAGTGTTAGTAAAGTTAAAGATACAAAGTAATTTGTTACCTCGCTGAAAGATGTGGGCTTGCAGGTAACCACAGTGCTTGTTCACCAAAAGTGACATCAACAAATCGCTTCCACGGGTGTGGGAAGAACACTGAGCAGTGGCTAAAGCATCCTTGGCACAGAGCACAAACACTAGACTCTGCACACTGGGCATGTGAAAGGAGGAGGATGCTCAGGGCAGCAGGGGAGGAGGCCACGGGGGGCTATAGGGGATGCAGGGGCTGTGGGACGGGAAGGCAGGAACTGAATCTGGTTCTGGAGTGGGTCCTAGACAAGTCAGTCCCGCGGGGCGTCACCTGGGGCCACTGAGGTTGGCAAGGGGCGCACGTGCGTGCAGCGAATGTCTGATTGTGGCGACTGAGGCAGCGCAGCCTTAGTGTGTTCTGCCTCCCTCTGGCAGCGTTTGTGAGCTGGCTGTGGTCACCTGTGGGTACCCGATGGGTGGGCTCTGCTGTCATTCAGCTCCCCAGTGACCACCTCTGACCTCTGTGGGGCTGTTTGCTGCTTGGCTGTCCTCTCTCCTTGGGAGGTCTTGCAGCCTGCCTCTAGGGATCCAAACTGAGCGGTGGGACAGCACATAACTTAAAATCATTTTCTTTGACTAAACATTGAGTGGAATTTGAGCATATACACATTTCCATTAAATCTGTATTTTAAAAGTTTTCTAACTTGTATACAAAAAATCCTGCTTTTAAAAAAATATTTTAAATGTATATATAATTAGGTGACCCAACCTTAATTCTGTCACATCAGAATAGTCTTCCCTTTCGCTCAAATCTATTAGATTCCTTTATGTCCTCATGTTTTCTCACGCACATCCTTAATATCTGGTAGTGGCCAGGCTTTCTGGCTTCTAGTTTTATCTTCCCCAGATTGTTCCCTAAAAGGAATGCTGTCTGAGTCAGGCTTGTTCAGTTAGTGCTGTTCAGTTAGTGATGTTTGATTGTTTATTCCTTTTTAAACAGTATTCCATTGTGTGGATATAACAACTGACATTTGAGCAGTTATGAGTAAAAACAGTTCACAGTGAAAATGGAACCTTTGATGAAACCCATGAAGAAAATAAGGGTAGTGTCAAAAACTTTGAAGGCCCTTCCCTCAAAAGCTCTCAGGGTTCAGAAAGAGGCACCACGAAAAGCATAGGATCTAAGTCTGTGGGCTATGGCAAAAAAAAAAAATCTTCTCACAACACGTTCATTCTATGCATGTTCTCTTTTTACTGTTCTCTATTCTAAGTCTTTTGTCCTAATTGTAATTTCTTAGTTCTAATTCTGTTTCTTCTTTCTTCTTCACTTTCCTACTGACTTAATTTTCCTACATTCTTACCCTTTCACATCTCTATGTTTTCTACCAGCTTTTCCTTCCAGCTACTACCTCTCTGGTCCTCTCTTCCCAAGTCAGTCTCTCTTCTCTTGCTCATTCTGCTGAGCTGTAAAAGTTTCCAGGTGATACATACTTACAATCAGCAATTCTCTGGCTCTAGCCAGGTGCAAGACTAGAGTCCTTTAGGGTCATAGAGATAGATAAAAGTTTTACACAAAGCAGTCAGCCTTCTTTATGGCTCAGTGATTTAAGCTTCCAAGATCTTAAAGGGCAAGGAGATGTTAATTAAGGGGGAGAGAGGCTGAGTTGTTAGGGAAATCTAAGAGGGGGGCATGTGCTTTGTTATTTTCTAAAATGTGAGACTTTCAGAGGGCAGATAAGGTTAATGAGAAGTGTATCTCTGGTGACAATATACCTCATAGCCTTGCTAAATGAGGTCTCTGTCTTCATGAGATAAGCATTTCTGATGGGTAGACCCCCTCAAGTATTCCCTGAACTCTCACTGAGATCCATAGCAGGTTAAAGGAAGCATACCCCAAATGAATGAAAGCTATATATACATGATCCATAGCAAACACAATGCTCATTGGAGAAGAATTTGAGAAAATTCTATTAAAATCAGGAACAAGATGAGCCTGCCCACAGTCTACTCCTATTTAAAATAGTGTCTGAGGTTCAAGATGCAGCAACATGGCATGGGAAGGGAATAAAAAAGGTAAAATGGGAAACAAAGTTAGGTTTTCATAAGAAAACCTAAAATATACCAT